ATCCATAGCCTGTTATCTTAAAATCTGACTGGTTCGCCCATAAATTATAGTCTCGCCATTGAAATCACTTCGTTTTTTTCTTATTAATGATCTACTATTTATTTTTGAAAAATCAACTTATTTATCATATAAAGATTATCAATGACATTTTAAGCTATTTTTCATACATCATGTTGATAATAGTATTATTAGTATCTATCCTTGATTAAAAGTGACTTATTCATTTACAATAGAATAGAATTACCTATATTTTTTAAAAAAAAGAAGATACTTTATACTCGTAGACTGTAATTTATTATTGCTTTTCAAGTTTTACATAGGCCGCCAAGAGATTAAATTAAACTTTTTGATTGAGATCATGAACCGATTGATGTTAGATCACCATTAAAAACTTGAAAACACTAGATGACCGTTTCATTATATTGTGGAACTCTTCAGCAGTACACATCAACGTTCCCTCTTCGCCAGATTCCAACCCAGGACTTATCAGTCTCGCGAGAACGCTTAACTTCTAGACCAACGAGCTGGCATCAAACGGTGTCTAACTTCAACTGATTCACGAAATTGAGCGACACATTCACCATTGTCTTTAGTAAGGTACTATCTCACAATAGACTCAGTTGAACTCCACTGGTCACTGCTTCTCACTAGATCTCCAGGAAATACCTCTTGAAGCCAGTCATTACTGAGCATATATGTCTCTCGATTTAGTGGATTAGTTGAAGTTAAACGTTAACGCCACTGTATGCCTTACCAGTGGTCTAAAGGCTCAGCGCTCGTGCGCGAGACTGAAACGTCCCGGGTTCGAATCTCGCCAAGTGGGATCCTGGATGTGCAGTGCTGAAGAGTTCCACAATAGAACGAAACAGCCATCCAGTGCTTCCAGGTTTTCCATGATGGTCTAGATTCAATTGACTCAATTACTATAATATCCACAAGAAAACCCTCTTCTGACATTTATATATATATATATATGTATATATAATTGCTAAATTCCGTAATATATTCTATACAAAAATTTATTTGAATCTATTCTAAACATAAAGAAATATCCAATTCTTTTGATATTCATTTGATGATTATATCTAATCCATCAACAATAATTCTTTCATTTATGTTTCTATTGTTAACACCATTATAAATAAACAATTATCTGTAAAATATATATCCAGTCATCAGTTCACTTGTTTATTAATTGTCTACTTGTTTATTATCATTATCATTATTATTACTACCATTATTATTATCATTACTAATACCATTATTGTTATTATTACTAGTATCATTATTATTATTATCATTATGAAATACGTGTACATAAAGAAACAATTAATAATCAAAGCAATCAAACTATAATTACACTCAATAATATTAAACTACTTTCGACATTCAATTCAAAACATTAATGTTTACATGATGAACGTTTTATTATTTTCTATGGTGTATTTCTTTATTTTTTCTTTTCTTTTTCTTTCTTGTCAACAAATTACTTTGTTTTAACACTTTAGATGTATAGCGATACATTTGAATAGTCTTGTCACACATATATAGAGAGTGTATAGTATATTCATAGTTCTATTTTAATAAAAGATAATAATTATGATTCTATGAAATATTGTATTTCAATTTTGTTGTTTTATTAAGACCATAGAAACTAATTATAAATTAAAATGAATAAACAATAACTTACTATCGGTGTTAAACATTAGAGTTATTTTTAAAAAAAGAAGAAGAAAAACTGGTTCAATGAAGAGTTCTGTTTTCGGTGAATTCAATTTCAAACCTGTACACTTGCAAATATATATGAAGGGGTTTTGTAAAGATTTTAGTAATTTCAGTAGTTGAAATTATGAGTCAGTTGAAGCTAGAACACCAAGGAAAAGCCTGGAAGCACTGGACAGCTGACTGTTTCGTCCTAGTATGGGACTCCTTAATAGTGCACATTCACGAACCCAGGACCTATCGGTCTCGAACGCGAACGCTTAACCACTAGACTAGTGAGTAGGCTGGCATCCAACGGTGTTAATGTCTAACTTCAACCAATCCACGAAATTGCGCCATCGTACACCATTGTCTTCAGTGAGTTGATATCTCACAATAGACCTGGTTGAACTCCAATGGTCACTGATTCTCACTAGAACTGCAGAAAATGCCTCTTGAAGTCAGTCACCGAGTTGATGTGAGACATTAAAAAGGATGAATGTGTTAGTTATGTCCATAACTAATTAATCAAATCGTTGTTTAAGTGACCACCATGTTGATCTTGTCTGATGTGTCTGTAAACTATCCCTGTTGCATGTGACCTACCCTATTATATTAATGTGACTCATAATTTCATTCATTTCGAGAAGACGCGTAATACCGGTTGGTATGTTTGTGCTTTTCACTGAATAACTGTAATTTTCTTAATTATTGTACTAGTCCTAATTGTTTTTACGTTCAGAAATAGAACAAGTTTAAATCCAAGTCATCCTTGTTCTGACTATAGCTTTCACATAGACTGTGATCGCCAGTATCACGTTTAAAGTTCTAGTAGTATATCTGAAGGACAAATTAAATCTTACAGAATGTATTCGTAAAATTTAATCGAACGAATTTGAAGTAAATCCAACATTTCGCCTAGCAATCTGCTTCAAGCTTTTTCAAGAAAATATAATTAAACACCAATATTATCGAATATAAATAGGTACATGGTTCTCCGGTTCACTGTATACTGAATATGTCGTCCAATCCTCGTTAACAATGTCTAAAGTAGGTATTTGCATCAGTGTGTAAGAGACATATGGTGTGAAACGAAGTGCTATGATAACAGATTGTGTATATACTTAAGTGATGTGAGAAGAAATTTCATTCACTATATATTGTCTTCGGTGGGTGAATATTAAGAAAATATATAATTTATATATATGATATGAATCACAGAATGCATAAAATGAAGATAAATAAACAAGATTTAAAAATGATAAAACTGAATGTGAGGTTGAAGGAACACAAACTGTACTTAAAACACATTCCTAACTCTTCAGTTGAGGTAGGAAAACTCGAGAACAAATCAGCGATAGCATTACACTCAATAGAATTGAGTCATACAATTAATTTCAACAGCACAAGAATCCTTCAAAAAGGCTTTAATTCTTGTTAACGTTGACTGGATGACCTATTCAGTATACAGTGAACTGGAGAACTATGTACCTATATTCGATAATTTTGATGGTTGATTATATTTCTTTGAAAAAGTTTGAACCAGATTGCCAGCTGAAACTTTGGATTTACTTTAAATTCATTCACTTAGATTTTACAAACACATTCTTCTATTTTAATGTCTCATATCAACTCGATGCCCAAATACTGTGAAACTATTCGATCAAATTTAGACGAAAGTTTTTATTTAAACTAATTATCGTTTGATTGTTAATGGTTTAAATATTCATCAAATGATAAATAGGGAAATGATCATTTGAAAAGGATGGCTCAGCATGATAAGATAAAATGTCAAAATTGAGATTAAATGTAATCAGGAGGATCGTAGAAACATAAATAAACCAATTGGGGGTAGAAGATTTAAGGAGCGGATGGAAGGGGAAGCATATGGCTATAAAAGGAAGAAGAATATGAAGAGAAAAACAAGAAAAGATAACTATTAAGATGGTATAGTTGATAAAACGTTTAAATAAAAGTCTAATATCAATAACAGTAATTTAATATGAAATTTGAATATCTAGTTTGATTGACAGTTTTCACTATACCGATATAAATCGATATATTGAAATGCTGAACCATATAATGCCTACAAATAAAATCTAGGGATCTGACTAAACAATTGTATAAAATCATGTAATTCGTGTAAATAGTATACACTGAGTCTACGTAAGATACTGAATATATCTGTTGGTTGGATACCATCAGCAACAATCTACTGTAAAAAAGAACAAACCAGCATCCGGATGAGGAGGAAATTAGGGAAAGACGTTGAAAGTGGATAGAAAATACATTACAGAAATCATCAAACTGAATCATGAGTCAAGACCTAACTTGGAATCCTGATGGGAAGTAAAAAAGAGGAAAACTGAAGAATACGTTGCGCCAGAAATTGGAAGCAGTTATGAAAAGAATAAAGAGAAAATGGAAAGAACTAGAAAGGATTGCCGAGGGTAGAGTTGGTTGAAGAATGCTGATGTGCGGAATATGCTCCTTCATGACGGGTAACAAGAGTAAGTAAAAGTTCGATATTTAGGATCATGAACTGGTATTACTATGAACATTAGAAACAACAGTCTAGCTACTTTTCAGTAGATAACAGTGTTCGAAGAATCATAAAGAAACACGTAAATGAATATATCTTTTCCATTTCGCAGGATAATATTATGCAATATTGCCGTCTGCTCTCATATTTCTAAATTTTACTTGAATTAGTGACCGTAATATTTACTTTGATAGGTTACCTGATCTATTTTGAGGTATTTTACCGCAAATGTCTATTTTAGAAGTGAGAAATTTGATAGAATCAACCTTTTTTATGAGATGTACATAAAAAAGTGAGGACGAACACAAACTGTTTGCCAGAATACTCACTATTTATCTTAATTACAAATAACTTATCTAAAAGTTATTACCCATCACTATTTTTCACTGCTAAAGCTTGAAATACTGCCCGATTGGTTATTGCTTAGATGAACAAACAAGTTAACTCTCGAAATTGAATTGTTCTTAAACATTTTACAATAGTTAGTTAAGAAAATAGGTAGTAGTCCTTCCTCCTCTGAGATCTAATTTGTTCTCTCACACAAAAGGTTGTTGCTGATAGTGTCTAGTCAATGGATCCGAAGTATTTTACGTAGACAATTGTTACTAAACACTTGTATCGTCTGGACGATAGCTTTCGTAGTTCTCCAGGTTTCCGCCCCGTACAGTAGAACTGCCTGGACATTTGTATTGAAAATTCTGAATTTGGTGTTGGTTGACCGACAATTGTTTTGAGTTCCAGATGTTCTTCAACTGTAAATATGCTGCTCTTGCTTTGCCGACCCCCGCCTTCACATCTGCATCACATCCACCGTGTTCATCAATGATGCTGGCCAGATATGTATAAAGGTTTTCACATCTTCCAAAGTTTCTTCATCATGTGTGATTGGACTGTTACATGCTGTGTTGTATGGGAGAATCTTATGTTTTCCTTTGTGTATGTTGAGACCTACTGTTGCTACACTGGTCGTCTTCTTCTGCATTTGTTGTTGCGTTTGCGACAGAAGGGCCAGATCATCTGCCAAGTTTAGATCGTCCAGCTGCATCCTAGCTGTCCACTGTATCTCATGCTTCTCCTCAAATGTTGACATCTTCATGATCCATTCGATCAACAGGAGAAAGAGAAAAGGTGAGAGTAAGTAAACTTGCTTGACACCGGTCTTTACTTAGATCGAGTTCGTCAACTGTCCTCCATGGACGATTTTACAGTTTAACCCATCATAGGAATTCCGTATCATATTGACTATCTTCTGAGGCGCGCCGTAATGTTGTCCTGTCCACGCTATCAAATACTTTCTCATAGTTAATGAAGTTGATGTAGAGTATAATTAAAGCCAGAAAATCAAATTTACATTACATAATCTTAGTAACTACATTTCAACTATTTAAAATTCAACTCTTTATACATACACATGAATCATATGCTCATTATATTATAGTATAAAGAAACTGAAACTTATAATTAACTAAATCTATCTTAAATTTACTAAATTGTTTCTAACTTTTATTGTTTTGGCAACGACCTTAACCTTATTTAAGTAGTAAATATTATGAAGAATATTTACCAATTTTTTAAAGTCTGATTATAACCATCGAACAGACTTTATGTCACACTTTTATTACAAATCCGAAAGAAAAAAAAAGAAAACTAATTTTGAGTAATTACCTACTCAACTGATCAACTAATCAGTTACTGTCAATAGGGAATCACATAATTTGTTAAGTCAGATAGACATCGATTTTCGAAGGATAATCATCAAAAATTTAAAAGAGGACACAAATTTAAGTCTCGTTTAAAAGTACACTTTATATGGTACTTAATATTTAATCTATCATAACTAATCCTATGAAATTTATACGAATATTCATTAAGATTAGAACCAATAGTTTGACAGTAATTGAGCACCGAGTATAGAGAAGTCATTATATGTGAAAATTATATTTTGGTTATCACCCTGAAGAAGTCCAGACAAATTAGCTGGACGAAACATTGGAATTATTTAAATTTCAATCGCTGAGAATATTTCAAATATAATTTTCACATATAATAATCCTATGAAATTTTAATTTTAAATTTCAAATTTCAAGTATAATAATTCAAAAATAACCTACTCAGTATTAGATCTTAAACATAATCAATCATTATCAGTCAGTCAGCTACAGCAACATAGGACCAGGAACATATACATATGTGCATCAGTCCAAGTTGCCATACCTTATTAGCACAACAAGATGAAGATCGGAGTCATTGAAGTAGTTAATTCAGTGGTGGTATATATATAAAAGAAAGATTGCGTATAAGGATATAATACAAGAAGAATCAGCTCGTAGAATTAAAGGTATAAAGTAATTTTAATCTCACAATATAAAAGGAAGACAGAGAGTGCATACACCCACAACATTGTGATCGATTCTGAGCCATGCCACTCAGAGTATCCAACCATTGGTTATAATAGTTGCGCGGACACCAACCAAATAGGCTGGATCTACCATCATAGTTCAGACTAGACGTTAGTGACTTCAAGCACTGATGCCCAGTTTTGATTTAGCCGTCCCTAACTTTTTTCCAATCATCGCGAACACTAGTAAGCATTGTGCGTCGTGGTAATCGGTGTTCAGGCATACACAACACGTGACCCAACTATCTTGGTCGACATAGATATACAACCTCATCAACTGATTTACCATCATTCCCTAATACCCTGCGTCTTACTTCACTATTATTTGTCCAGTGATTCCATCAGATGCGAGTTATATTTCTATTATATGTGTGATGAAATACTAGTGGCTTGTGAGTATCCTATACTTTTAATCGCTACGTTTTGCAGCCATAAAGTAGCACAGAGCAAACTGCTACACAGTATACTCGTCCCTTAATTGAGACATGTGTGATCTAAGTTGGCAAAAGCCAAACGAGCTTTCGGAATCTGTGCTGAGATTTCATCAGACACCAACCCATTAAAGATCATGAGACTTACGAGATATCTGAAGTTCAGGTGTTGACGCACGCCAGTCCTGCAGTAACAACTTCCATTTACATGAGAAAATATGCATTCCAATAAATCATTGGATTGATGATTCGGCAGAAAAACGTTTTACTTAAGAGTCCCAATGATTCACACTACTACTGTTACTACTACACAAGATACTACTTAGATACGGATGAGTGTTATCAAAGAAAAATAAACTGTTGTTTAAAAAAGATATGTACGAAGAAACCTAAAATACCGGATTTCATTTGATTTCAACCACATAATCCAACTTGCCACTATGTTATCACAGTTTAATGATTCTATTGAATCTTTCATACAATAATCATTGTTCCACTGATTGAAATCATGAGTAAATTGAAGCTAGACCACAATGGAAAACCTGGAAGCACTGGACAGCTGGCTGTTTCATCCTAGTATGGGACTCCTCAGCAGTGTGCATCCACGATCCCGCACTACGCGAGAGTCGAACCCAGGACCTATCAGTCTCGCTCCAGGCGCTTAGCCAACTAGACCACCGCTGAGGAGTCCCATACTAGGACGAAACGGCCAGCTGTCCAGTGCTTCCGGGTTTTTCATGGTGGTCTAGCTTCAGTCGACCCATGATTTGAATCAGTGAAATTTCTAAAGTCTCCACAAAACCCATTTTGATAATAATCTCTGTTTTCAACCTTCAATTAATATAACATTTCGTTGGAAACCCAAATTTGTATTATTATTATTATTATTATTATCAATAATACCCTTTTTAATACAATAAGTTAAACAAATTACATTTAATCTATCAATATAAGACTGACTGATCTTAAACATTTTCTTTGTTTGTTTGTTGTATATTTCATTTTTAATTTACTCATTATAATCCGATATGAATAAACAATTTGTTGATGACAGTTATTAAAATACATTTGATGACATGGAAACAATCAGAATACGTTCATGTACATATATATACATTAATACATATCTATCATTGATAGTATAATGAAACAGATTTTACCTACTAAACTAATAGTAATAATAATAAGCTTTTCTTTTTTTCCAAACTGATTTTTAAAAAAATCGATTATTAATAAGGTTAATTGATGATTAAATAATTTGGTTTCTATGACTAAATAATTGATTTATGATGTACATTATGAAAGTATTGAAAATCAATAATTTGAATGTGAATGTATCAATAATAAAGTTGATAATTTTAATATTCAGATGTTATTATTATTATTATTATTATTGGATTTTAATAGTTGAGATAATGAGTCATTTGAAGCTAGACCACCATAGAAAACCTGGAAGCATTGAACGGTCGTTTCGTTCTACGGTGTGACTTTTTCGCAGTGCACATCCACGATCCTGCCTGGCCAGTGGAGTTCAACTGGTTCTGTTGTGAGATATTAACTCAGTGATGACAATGGTGAATATGTCACTTAATTTCGTGGACCAGTTGAAGTTAGACAATGACACCATTGAATGCCGACCCGGTAGTTTAATGGTTAAGCGCTCGCACAAGAGACTAATAAATCCTTGGTTCAAATCTCGGGAGGCAGGATCGTGGATGCGTACTGCTGAAGAGTCTCACAAGAGAACAAAATGGCCGTCCAGTGCTTCTAGGTTTTTCATAGTGGTCTAGCTTCAATTGGCTCATGATCTCAACTACTAAACCCCTTCTGATATCATTGAATTTTTTCATTAATTTTCACGTTTGGTTACTTCGGCAATAATTATTGAACTATATATACTTAAATTTAAAGATTTCAGATATTATGCAGAACTTTCAAAATGTTTGTCCCTTTTATTTGAAAGTATTTCAAAGTAATTTGAACGATTATTTCAATAATTCACTTTTGTATTGGTTGTTTAAATCATTCCACTGATGTTTATGACTGCAGTTGATCAATGTCTTGAACAGGATTCACATATGTCGATAAGAGATTGATCAATTGCAGTCCTAAATATCAATGGGAAGATTCAAACAAACAATATAAAAATGAATTAAAACTTCACCTTATTACACAAGCTAGTGGCTAGCTGGACTCAGTAGCTTAGTGAACAACGTGATGGCTTTTGAATTAAAGGGTGCTCGGTTCAAGTCCTGTAGTGAACATTAATTCTGGGATGCAGGTATATCTAGCTGATGAGTCCTAAATAGGATAAAACGCGCGTATTGGACTCAACTGCTAGCCACCATTTATCTCTTATTATATCAATACTTTTGAATTAATTAACAATAAAGATTTTATTGTTGTGATTGAACATAATATCCACTAGATATATTATTAGCCATCTGGACTCTTACCGGATAATGCGTTATGTATTTGAAGTGAAAGATAATGGCTTTAAGTCTTAGTGTGAACAATTATACGTAGTACATCCAACTGACACCTCTAGAATAAAATAAAAATTGGGACCCGTATTTTATTTCAATACTTTTGTTTATTATATAGATAGGATAGGATGAAAGCAAAGAATTGACCATACGATTCATAATGTTAAATGCATTCAAACAAACTAAGATAATGTGCTGTATACAAGTGAAGTATTTCACTTAGTTCACAATGAAAATGAAATTTTCATTTGACTTATTTGAATAAACTAAGTCTATTTGCATTTTTCATTGTCCTGTCAGTTTTATCATGGTTTGGTGTTACAATAAGGACTGAATTGGTTGTCGTTTAATTGTAACAATCCTCATACCAACCATAACATCATCCTTCATGAATTAATGACTCGAAAAAGAACCATGTCAATAATAAAACGACTCATTCAGATTTTAATAGTTAACAGCCTACTCAAATAATTCACTAAACATTGAGTCTATTATATATGAATGCAAAATTATTATTCGATAATTTTTCGCACCATATTCAGTAGAAAGTTTATAGTTTCGGTTAGTTACTATGTTAAGCTTATTTAACATATTTTTTTTGAGTCACGTTCTGACCTTATTAATTATTCACTCATCAACCTTGATTGTTTTTATAGGAGCGTACGTGGGTGCACCTCTTATCCTACTCATCACATATCTGTAACTTATTTTTATCTGACCATAAATATAGATTAAGATTTGATTAGATGGAGGTGATTCAGACGGCTTCCCTACTGCTCGTCATTTCGTTTCACTCTCTTCTATATGCTACATCCTTTTGATTGCCTGCCCAGATCAATGACTGTACAAAATATATGTATTCAAACATCCATTCTTGTAATCGGCCTAATTTATTTCCGTTATAAACCTAACGATGATTAAGTCGATAATAATATACGAGAATAGTCAGAATATTTATTTCAATAACGATCATTCGTACAATCTAATTGGAGTCAGACGTAGAGCCACTAAAAGTTTACATGAAAGTTACAAGCTGTAGATAATATGTAATTGATCCATTTCGAAATTAATCTT